AAGCGTGTGACCACGGGCGAGATGGAGTTCGGCAACAAGTACGTCATGATGATGGACGAGATCAGTACAGGTCTGGACAGTGCCGCCACCTTCGACATTATTACCACGCAGCGCAGTATCGCCAAGAAGTTCCGCAAGACGATAGTGATCTCGTTGTTGCAGCCGTCACCCGAGGTGTTCGACCTGTTCGACGACGTGGTGATCCTGAACGAGGGTCGTGTGATGTATCACGGTCCGCGCGCCGACGCATTGAGCTACTTCGAGAACCTTGGCTTCAAGTGTCCTCCACGTCGCGACGTCGCCGACTTCCTGCTGGACTTGGGCACTGACAAGCAGTCGCAGTACGAAGTGAGCTCAATTCCGTCTGGTAGTATCCCGCGCACGGCCAGCGAGTACGCTGACGTCTTCACGCGTTCGCGTATCTACAGCCGTATGATGGACGACCTTCACGGCCCAATTCCCTCGAATTTACTCGAAGACAACGAGAAGCAATTCGCGGCTGTTCCAGAGTTCCACCTTGGTTTCGTGGAGAGCACAAAAGACGTTGTGCAGCGCCAGCTAAAGCTCCTATCGCGTGACACTGCCTTCTTGATGGGTAGAGCTGTGATGGTCATCTTGATGGGTCTCCTGTACGCAAGTACCTTCTACCAGTTTGATGAGACGAACTCGCAACTGGTCATGGGTATCATCTTCAACGCTGTCATGTTCGTGGCGCTGGGGCAACAGGCTCAGATCCCGACGTTCATTGCAGCGCGTGAAGTGTTCTACAAGCAACGTCGATCCAACTTCTTCCGCACTGCGTCGTTCGTGCTGTCCAACTCGGTGAGTCAGATCCCTGTCGCTGCAATTGAAAGTGCCGTGTTCGGTTCGATCATCTACTGGATGTGTGGCTACGTGTCGACTATCGAAGCTTACCTCGTGTTCGAGTTGATGCTGTTCGTGACGAACCTGGCTTTCACCGCGTGGTTCTTCTTCCTGTCGTGTGCTTCGCCTGACCTGAACGTCGCCAACCCGCTGTCCATGGTCTCCGTTCTGCTATTCGTCCTCTTTGCTGGCTTTACGATCACAAAAGACCAAATTCCGGACTACTTCATCTGGCTTTACTGGCTCAACCCTATGTCATGGGGTGTGCGTGCGCTCGCAGTGAACCAGTACTCCGACTCCAAGTTTGATGTGTGTGTGTTCGAAGGTGTTGATTACTGCGCCAGCTTCAATATGACCATGGGCGAGTACTCGTTGACAACGTTCGAGGTGCCGACTGAGAAGTTCTGGCTCTGGTATGGCATTGTCTTCATGGCCGCAGCGTACGTCCTCTTCATGTTCATGTCGTACATGGCGCTGGAGTTCCACCGCTTTGAGGGTCCAGAGAATGTGACGCTTGATTCGGAGAACAAGGGTAATGCCACGGACGACTACGGTCTAATGCGTACGCCTCGTGGATCGCCTACAGATGATGAGACTGTAGTCTCTGTCTCGCCTGCGCGGGAGAAGCACTTCATCCCGGTCACCGTAGCGTTCAAGGACCTCTGGTACAGCGTTCCCGACCCGGCCAACCCCAAGGAAACCATCGACCTGCTCAAGGGTATCAGTGGATACGCTCTACCCGGTACGATCACCGCTCTCATGGGATCTTCGGGTGCTGGTAAGACCACACTCATGGACGTTATCGCTGGACGAAAGACTGGAGGCAAGATCACCGGCCAGATCCTGCTGAATGGCCACCCGGCCACCGACCTCTCTATCCGTCGATCCACGGGTTACTGTGAGCAGATGGACATTCACTCCGAGTCGGCTACCATCCGTGAGGCGCTCACGTTCAGCGCGTTCCTGCGTCAGGGAGCCGATGTGCCCGATAGCTTCAAGTATGACTCGGTGAACGAGTGTTTGGAGTTGTTAGACTTGCACCCGATCGCCGACCAGATCATCCGTGGCAGCTCCGTGGAGCAGATGAAGCGATTGACAATTGGCGTGGAGCTGGCAGCTCAACCGAGTGTGCTGTTCTTGGACGAGCCGACGAGTGGACTTGACGCTCGCTCTGCCAAGCTTATCATGGACGGTGTGCGCAAGGTGGCGAACACTGGTCGAACGGTGGTGTGCACGATCCACCAGCCGTCGAGTGAGGTGTTCAGTGTTTTCGACAGTCTGCTGTTGTTGAAGCGTGGAGGTGAGACGGTGTTTGCTGGTGAACTGGGTAAGAACGCCAGCGAGATGATTGCTTACTTTGAGTCAATCGACGGTGTAGCGAAGCTGGAGGAAAACTACAACCCTGCGACGTGGATGCTCGAGGTGATTGGTGCCGGTGTGGGCAACAGCAACGGCGACAAGACAGACTTTGTGAAGGTCTTCCAGTCGAGCAAGCACTTTCAGTTCTTGCAGTCGAATCTCGATCGCGAGGGTGTGACTCGGCCGTCCCCCGATTTGCCTGAGCTGACCTACAGTGACAAGCGTGCTGCGACTGAGATGACCCAAGCCAGATTCCTGATCCAGCGCTTCTTCAGGATGTACTGGCGCACGGCTTCCTATAACTTGACTCGCTTCTTCCTGGCGTTTACGCTTGGTCTGCTCTTTGGTGTCACCTACGTCAGTGCGGAGTACACTTCGTACGCCGGCATCAACTCGGGTATGGGTATGCTCTTCTGCACGACTGGTTTTATCGGCTTCATCGCGTTCACCAGTGTCATGCCGATCGCTTCGGAGGACCGGTTAGCTTTCTATCGTGAACGCGCGTCCCAAACGTACAACGCGTTGTGGTACTTTGTGGGTTCGACGCTGGTGGAAATCCCGTACGTCTGCTTCAGCACTCTACTTTTCATGGCTCCGTACTACCCGATGGTGGGCTTCACTGGCGTCATGCCCTTCCTGGCCTACTGGCTGCACTTGTCACTGCATGTGCTGTGGCAGGCCTACTTCGGCCAACTCATGTCGTACCTGATGCCAACCGTGGAGGTCGCTCAAGTGTTCGGTATTCTACTCGCGTCAATCTTCTTCCTGTTCAACGGCTTCAACCCACCTGGAAGCCAAATTCCGGGCGGCTACGAGTGGCTGTACCACGCTTCTCCTCAGAAATACTCGTTGGCTCTAGTGGCGGCTATTGCATTCGGTGACTGCCCGGACGAGGGCGGCTCGGAGATTGGCTGCCAGGTCATGACGGGAGTACCCCCGACGTTGTCTTCGGACTTGACGGTCAAGGCCTATCTTGAGGACGTTTTCCTCATGAAACACAGCGAGATCTGGAAGAACTTCGGCATTGTGGTGGGTATTATCGTTCTCACGCGTGTCCTAGCGCTTGTGGCGCTGCGCTTTGTGAACCACCAGAAGAAGTAGATGATGACGTTAAGCGTGGTCTTGTACCTGGTATACATAATACATTTGTTGGCATTTCGAAGGATATTTTATAACGCAATGTTGCCGTAATGCATAATTTTAGAACAGCGACCAAGCCCTGTAGCTATAGTACCGCATGGGATCTCAAGTTTCTTCGTTGTCTGCTTGTTGATTCCGCAGCACGGGCAGATTCTCAAATGCGAAGCAGGCGCAGCGACTCCTTGAGGAGTCGCTGCACAAGAAAGAATGAATCAGTCGATGATATTACTAGTATCGTACTACGGGACCCGTTTAGATTGAAAATTAGTTTTGCGCCGCAAAAATACTTCGAATGGGCTGGTTTTTAAAATTCTATTACCCAGCATACAAGTGTGTATGTTTGTCGCTATCCTCTCAGTGTTGTTTACCTACATGGCATACCAACATGCAAAGTGTATCATCTAATTGTAGCAGCAATATCAGATCGCTACAGTACATGTAGTTAACCAACAAGCGAGAATATAGTCTATGGATCGGTATGTTTTCCGCAGCGTGACGGTGCAAGGAAAGCCTGTTTTCAGAGGAGAGGAACGAGTGAACCACATCAAGCAGCACGACTAGCCAGTTTTTGATTTTTCAGAAACCCACCACAACCCACCACTGGGCGAGCCACAGCTCTAAGCTATGGCCGTCGTCGATCAATACAACTATTCCGCTCTTCGTGAGTGTGGCCTCCAAGCTCGTCTACTGTTCGACGATGAAATTACATGTATTTAATAAACATTATTAAATACTGTAGAGATGGAAAGTTTGAAGGCTAAAGGAAAGCTCTTCGTCAAGATTAAGCTATTACTAGAGCGCGTTAGCAGCAGCACTGCTGTACTTCTGTGCGCATGCACTCACCACTGTTTTATTATACAATTTTATGATCATAAACAATAAAAAAAATACTGAGCAACACATTTTTTCCCTTTGTTTTCCTTTTTAAGGCTTGACTCTGTATTACTGTAGATGGACGTATTTTCCTTTTCTAGATACACAGTATTAAATCACCCCGCTGTGCCTTGTCTTCACATATTAGCAATACTAAGTTAGTATATTAAATACCACCTCTTGTCAACATTCTGAGCTGTTCCGCGCGAACGCGCGGCTTTGTAGACTTCGAAATACAGTAACATCTCTGCGATCCTGCACGGATGTGAAATCTGTCGCAGTTCGATTTAAATTCCAAGATCTACCGCCAACATTTTTGTGAAGAGGGGGGTGAAATCCATCCTAAATCCAAAACCCTTGTAAGCTGAACCAACACCTACGGTTAGAAAAGACTGTGCGCACAGCTCGCACATTGCAATCCCAGGAGCAAGAGCGGTTTTAATAACGCTCGTCTTGTGCTTCTGTTAGCACCACAAGGTGTTAAAATACTTTATTGGGCACTGGAAGTTATCCATGAGTTGCCATAATTTGAACGCCTCTACACCTAATCGAAATCAAAAGCCATGAATTACTTGGTTTTACTATTGGGTTTAACCTACCCCGGATAAAGCACGTGACTCAACAACCCTTTACTTGATGATGAAGGTCTGCTGGACTGTCCACGCTGTCAGCGTGTGTGTAGGACTCCCCAGCATGTCCAGTAAACAGCACGATCCGACTTGGTTTGTGTTGACGCGGTACCTGCAAACATAGTGCATCGCTATGTTTCTTCAGTTATCAATTTATCCCAGCAACCAACAACCACTTTTTGCCATGAGGTATCAAGCTGTCGAGTCGCCAACTGCACAGCAAAACTCACTTCCAGTTCAACCTCGCAAGCTTCTGCATTCCGTTGACGCTCGACTGGATGCACTCGAGACTCGTTTATCATGGTTCTACGTTCGACTATTGCTGCTTACAGGTGTGAGCTGGGCAATTCAAGCGGCTGAACTCGCCCTGCTCATCTTCACGCGGGTGCTAGTTGCTAACGATATCGGAATGGGCACACAAGTTCTCAAAATCCTTGGGGCTAGCATCTTCATTGGGGCAATGGCCGGAGGCCCGACCTTCGGCTACATCGCAGACCGGTTTGGTCGTCGGATAGCAATTATGATTGCAATGGTGTTTTCGTTGGGAGGCCTTGCAGTGTCGGCTCGTGCGAACGTTGAGTACATGCTGCTTATCGGTCGCATAGTTACTGGTCTTGGCTTCGGTGGACAGCTCACCTCGACGGTTGTTCTGGTTCGCGAATTGGCTCCTCGGTCCATGAGTGGACGCGTCGTGTCATTACTCGACGCGTTCACGGGGATTGGCGGTTTGTTCGGTGTAGCGTTGGCTTTTGCTGTGGCCCCACGGTTGGGATGGCGCACTACATATCTCGCCGCGTGTGGACTTGTGCTGTACGCAATAGTGTTGCGCTTCACTGTTCCAGAATCACCGCGTTGGCTGGCTAGTGTCGGACGCACGGAAGAAGCTTGTGCTATTGTGGAAAAGATCGAACACTTGCACGGCATTCAGGCGTCTGGTGATAACACGCAGAAGACAGAGCTCGAATTTACGTCTGCTCTGGAATCTCCATCATCGTCATCGGCGAAGACTCCGCTCCTCAAGCGGTTGATCCCCACGCTCGTGCTGTGGATCTTGTGGATCGCTATGACCTTGTCGTCCTACACACTGGGCATCTACGTTCCTACGCTTATCAGCCTCAGTGGCTACAACGTCTTTGCGAGCTGGTGCACCATTGGTGGGCTGAAAATCGCTCAAACGGTTGGTTCGGTCGCAGCAGCAACAGCGTTGGACTCGTACGGCTTTCACCGCTGCTTCGCTATCTTTGCAACTTTGGTTACTATCTTCTCGGTTGTATTGAGCTATGTCACTTGGTCGCATGCGGTAGTCACTGCCATTACCTTCGTGGTGACTGCTCTGCTGTCTGCATGCTGGAGTTGTGTTCTGGCGTATACCCCAGGACACTTCACGACAACCCATCGCGGGCGTGGAGTGGGGTACGCTGTTGGGGTCAGTCGTTTGGCTGCCGTCGGAGGGTGTTACCTGTACCCTCATATGTTCAACGTGTGGGTTCTATCCGTGCCTGTGCTGTGTTGGATCTTTGGTGGCGTATTGACAATTGTCGCTGTTGGCTTTTCACCTCGCTTCGGTTACCAGCTCCTGGAGCAAGAAGATGACACAGACTCTTGCGCATGGACATCGGCAGCTGACCTGGAGAATGGAATGTCTAGTGCTAGTGAAGAGCGCTCAAATGGAGCTAGCGCCGCCGAAGAGAGTAGATGAACACCTATTAGATAAAATAAAGAGAAACTGTAAGTAGTGTTAGCAATGCACAAGTGAACAGAGCTTTGACGTGGTACTACAAAATGCACGAAAAATCAGAAACGGAAAAATAACTGTGCGACATAATTTAGGCCAAGAAAAACCTTCATCAAAAAATACATGTTTTCACAAAATATGACATTAATGAAGCCCGTGCTTAAATTCGGAATGTAAAAATATCATTGAAATGTCTTCAGATTAAATTCGGAGGCAAAAACAATTTGAAATGTATTCGACTTGCAGGAAAAATTACCGCTTCTGATGATTCACGAAGCGCATGGCCAGAAGCGTGAGCACACGGAAGAAGACCAGGAACGCCAGCACGATGGCGCAGTTGCGCCAGATCTGGCTGTGCTTCATGAGGAAGACGTCTTCCAGGTACTCCTTTACGGTGAGATCCGACGGGAGCGACGGCGGGACGTTCGTCATGTGCTTGCATCCAACGTCGCTTCCATCGCCGTCACTAGGACAGTCACCAAACACAATCGTGGACATGGCGGCGAGCGTGTATTTCTGCGGCGTGATGTGGTACAGCCACTTGTAGCCCGTCGGGAGGTCTCCGGCCGGAGGACTGAAGCCCATGAACAGGAGGAAGATCAGCGCCATGAGCATCCCCAGAATCTGTGCCACCTCCACGTTCGGCAACAGGAAGACGAGGAACTCACCGATGTACGCCTGCAGTAGTACGTGCAGCGACACGGTGAGCCAGAACGTGAGGAAGGCTCCAAAGCCAGTGAAGCCCACCATGGGGTAGAACGTGGCCATGAACAGCATCACTGCCAGGAACGTGTACGGGATCTCGGCCACACTGGAGCCGAAGAAGTACCAGAACGCGTTGTACGTCTGTGCTGCTCGCTCACGATAAAAGACCGCTCGTTCTTGTGAAGCGATGGGCAAGGCGCTGTTGAACGACCCGATGCCGAGGAACCCAACGGCCAGGTACATCATGCCCATCCCCGAGTTGATGCCCGAGTACGAAGTGTACTCGGCACCGACGTACGTGATACCGAAGACGAGACCCAGCACCAACGACACGAAGAATCGGGTCAAGTTGAACGAAGCCGTGCGCCAGTACATGTTGAAAAAGCGCTGCAGTAGGAACTTCATCTGGACCATCTCGGTCGCAGCACGTTTTTCGCCGTAGGTCAGCTCAGGCAAGTCCGGGGACGGACGCGTCACACCCTCGCGATCGAGATTCGACTGCAAGAATTCAAAGTGTTTACTGGCCTGGAAGATCTTCACGAAGTCTGTCTTGTCGCCGTTGCTGTTGCCGACGCCGGCACCGATCACCTCTAGCATCCACGTCGCAGGGTTGTAGTTGTCCTCTAGCTTTGCCACGCCGTCGATTGACTCGAAGTACGAGATCATCTTACTGGCGTTCTTACCCAGTTCACCAGCAAACACCGTCTCACCTCCACGCTTCAGCAACAGCAGACTGTCGAAAACACTGAACACTTCACTCGACGGCTGGTGGATCGTACACACCACCGTACGTCCTGTGTTCGCCACCTTGCGCACACCGTCCATGATAAGCTTGGCAGAGCGAGCGTCAAGTCCACTCGTCGGCTCGTCCAAGAACAGCACACTCGGTTGAGCTGCCAGCTCCACGCCAATTGTCAATCGCTTCATCTGCTCCACGGAGCTGCCACGGATGATCTGGTCGGCGATCGGGTGCAAGTCTAACAACTCCAAACACTCGTTCACCGAGTCATACTTGAAGCTATCGGGCACATCGGCTCCCTGACGCAGGAACGCGCTGAACGTGAGCGCCTCACGGATGGTAGCCGACTCGGAGTGAATGTCCATCTGCTCACAGTAACCCGTGGATCGACGGATAGAGAGGTCGGTGGCCGGGTGGCCATTCAGCAGGATCTGGCCGGTGATCTTGCCTCCAGTCTTTCGTCCAGCGATAACGTCCATGAGTGTGGTCTTACCAGCACCCGAAGATCCCATGAGAGCGGTGATCGTACCGGGTAGAGCGTATCCACTGATACCCTTGAGCAGGTCGATGGTTTCTTTGGGGTTGGCCGGGTCGGGAACAGTGTACCAGAGATCTTTGAATGCGACAGTAACCGGGATGAAATGTTTCTCGCTGTCTGGGGCAACTGAGACCACCGCCTCGCTTCCGTTCGGCAAGCTCCGGGGAGTGCTCATCAATCCGTAGTCGTCCGACGGATTGTCCTTGCTCTCCGAGTCGAGCGTCACATTCTCCGGACTCTCGTATCTGTGGAACTCCAGCGCAATGTACGACAGGAACATGAAGAAAATGTACGCGGCCGCCATGAAGACAATGCCGTACCAGAGCCAGAATTTCTCCGACGGTACCTCGAAAGTACTGAGCGAGTAATCTCCGACGGTCTGGTTGAAGCTTTCGCAGAAGTTAACGTCGCCGTAGACACAAGTGTCGAATGTCGAGTCGCTGTACTGGTTCACAGCCAGAGCGCGCACACACCAAGCGATGGGGTTGATCCAGTAGATCCAGATGAGGTAGTCGGGGATCTGCTCCTTGGTGATGACGAAGCCTCCGAACAGGATGAAGAAGAGGATCGAGACACTAGAAATGGGGTTGGCCACGTTGAAATTCGGCGCGGCGGAGGCCAAGAAGAAGAAGAAGGCCGTGAAGGCGAGGTTGGTGATGCACAGCATCAGGATGAACAGGATGAAGGCCCCGATGGTGTCCACGAAGCCGCACATCCAGTAGACGATGGAGCCGAACACGATACTCTCCAACAGGATCGGAGGCAGCTGACTGGCGGAACTCGAGAGCACGTACGACGCCGTCCGGAAGAAGTTGGCTCCGCGCTGCTTGTAGAAGACCTCACGTGCAGCCATGACTGTAGGGATCTGAGCGGACTGACCCAGCGACAGACACAGAACCGACGCGAAGATGACGCCCATGACCAGCTGTGCATTGGTTGGGTTGACCTGGTAGAAGACACTGGAATACAGCAGTCCCATGATGGTGTTCATGACCAAGCGGCCGACGAGCGCGGCCGAATCACGCAGTGTGACTCTCATCTGTCGCTTCATGAGTAAGGCGGTGCTGTCCCAGAAGTTCTGGTGGAATTCTGGCTGTGCGTTCATGTGCAGCTCCTTGTCATGCACAAGACCGGGGTGGACTGGACTTTCGAGATCAACGAGCAGTTGGTGATGGATGGACGAGCGCGTGAAGGCGTCGGCGAACTCACTCGACGTACGCGGGATACAGACGCCTGGGGCGACTTGTACCTCGTACTGGACCTGTTTGCTGGTTCCAAGATCCAGCAGGAAGTCAGCGACGTCGCGACGTGGAGGACACTTGAAGCCCAGACTCTCAAAGTAGCCCAAGGCCTCAGCGCGCGGACCGTGATACATGACATGGCCCTCGTTCAGGATCACCACGTCGTCGAACAGCTCGAACACCTCGGGCGATGGCTGCAACAACGAGATCACCACCGTCTTGCGGAACTTCTTGGCGATACTGCGCTGCGTGGTGATAATGTCGAAGGTGGCGGCACTGTCCAGACCTGTACTGATCTCGTCCATCATCATGACGTACTTGTTGCCGAACTCCATCTCGCCCGTGGTCACACGCTTACGTTCTCCACCAGACACACC